CCTCTCGTTTTAAAGCATCACTTCTTGTTGTAAAGTGCAACCTTTTGTTGTAAAACTTGACCTTCCCTTGATAAGTGTGACCACTGGTTGTAAAGTGTGACACCTGTTGTAAAGTGTGACCAACTGTTGCAAAGTGTGACCTCCTTTGCAAAGTGTGACCTCCCGTTGTATGGTGTGACATTTTGTTTTAAGAAATGACCTCTCATTTTATAGTGCGACCGCCCGTTATGTGATGTCTGTTTTAGAGAGTGGTGTCCCGTTGTGGGTATTATCTCTAATTGTAAAGTGGGATCACCTGTTGCAAAGTGTGTTGTCTGTTTTAGAGTGTGTTGGCCCATTGTGGGTGTTATCTCCCATTGTAAGGGGACCCTTCCTGTTGTTACTAGTAAGTGTGACCTCCTGTTGTAAAGTGTGACCTCCTATTGTAAAGTGTGACCTCCTGTTGTGAAGTGTGACCTTCCATTGTAAAATGTGACCTCTTGTTGTAAAGTGTGACTTCCTGTTGTAAAGTGTGACCACCTGCTGTAAAATGTGACCTTTCGTTATTCAGTGTGATCTCCAGTTGTAAAGTGTGACCTCAGGTTGTAGAGTGTGACCTCTCATTTTGGAGTGTGACCTCTCATTTTAGATTGTCACCTTCTGTTGTAAAAGTGAGACCTCCTGCTGTGGAGTGTGACGTCTCATTGCAACTTCCAGTTTTGAATTGTGATATCCCTTTGTAAAATGTGACTTCATGTTGTAGAGTGTGACCTCCTGTTTTAAAGAGTGACCTCTCATTTTTAAGTGTGACCTCTTGTTTTAAAGTGCGAGCTCCTGTTGTAAAGTGTGACCTCCTGTTGTAGAGTATGATCTCCTGTTGTAAAATGTGACTTGTTGTAAAGTGTGACCTCTTGTTTTAGAGTATGACCTCTCATTTTAAAGTGTGATGTCCCGTTGTAAAGTGTTATCTCAATTTGTTAAGTGTGGCATCTGTTTGAGAGTATGACGTCCCGTTTTGGGTCTGATCTCCTGTTGTTAAGTGTAATATCCAGTTGTAAAGTGTGACCTCCCATTGTTAAGTGCAACTGCGGGTTATGAAGTGTGATCTCCCGTTGTAAAATGTAACTTCCAGTTGTAGAATTTGACATATCCTCTCAGAGTGCTATGTCCCGTTGTAAAATGTTACCTTCCCTTGCAAAGTGTGACCTCCCATTGTAGAACATAACATCCCGTTGTTAAGCGAGACTTCTCATTGTAGATTGTCATATCTCCTATATATGCACGTAAAATGTATTCTCCTTTCGCAGACATGAACTCCGTTTCCTCCAAAAACACACGCCATTTCAGAGTTTCAAAGTTTTACGCAGTCAGTCTGCCACCTTTTTGAATTAAGCGAAAAAAATGGCTGCACTTCCAGCCAATCACACCACGGGTCTCGGCACGTGGCTGACTTCAACCTCATTAATATTTTAAAAAAGTGGCAGGCTGACTGCGAAAATACACGTTGTAGAGAATTTTTTTGATTTATTTATTCTTGGACTAATTTGCTACAAATTGCTACATTGTAAGTGTCAAAAAGTAAACAAAAATCGTTAAGAAAACGTAATCTATGTTAAAAATCTGGCATACGTAATTGTTCAAATTAGAAAACAATTGTATCTTCTATTAAACATGGATTAATAAAAAAAACCACATTGATTTAATTAAAGATGACAATACACTGTAAAACTGTTAAGAATTTAAACAGATAAAGGATGTAGAAACAAACTTTTTTTCAGTTCCTTGGGGTCATTTACATAATCGGAAATTTAAATCCCAGCAAGACCTTTCAAACTAAACTCGGTAACCCATCTTTTTAAAAGCAAAAATGGATGTTGGATTTTTACAATGTATACTCTGTAAAAACACTTTCTGGGAATTTTAAAATGTCCTAGCTCTTCTTAAATTAATTAGACGTTTTTAGATGTCTTACTTATTCTACTTGGATTGATATAAAGAAATAAGATGATTTTAAATGTAAATTCCAAAAAGCGATGCAGCAACGAGTGTCATTGAAAGCCCAGGGTCTCGGTTTCTGGATTTTGAGTAATATATGAAGTAAATTGTAATATTTTCGGTTAAAATTAGAAGTATACACACACCAGTAAACTTTTTATCCGGTGTTTATACACATTCTAAAACCTTTTTTATACCTCGGTACCCCAAATTTGTGTAAGGTTTTAGAATGTGTACAGGCACCGGATAAAAAGTGTTGCCATTATTTACTGGTGTGTATACGTTTAATATTAACCAAAAATATTACAATTGAAAGGAGAAAACTAACCTAACATCTGGAGTGTCCCAAGGATCACTGCTATAGGGCATACGTTATTCGTGAATATATATATATAAATATAAATATGGGGCAAAGAAGTAATTCCAACAGTGTGGACAAGTTTAGGTTGACAAATTTTCGGAGCGATCCGTTCCTTTATGAAACAGAACAGTTACATGTACAGATACATCATATTACAAGAAGATAGAACTGATATATTATAATTGAAAATATAGCTATTATATAAAANCAGAAAGAAGGGACGAGATATCAAAAACGCGGAACATGTGCATGTGGGAATCTGGCCCGGTGGTCTTCCTGATAGCTATACAGGCGGAAGCATACCTTTTCGTGACATGAACAAAGTTTCAAAGTAGAACAATAAATGGTTGCTAAAATTTCATCCTTTAAAGTATAAATATATATACATTTGTATATAGGTGGATCATATGGAAGAAGAACATATTACCTTTACGAGGAGTGGAAAGGAGACGGATATAGGAGTAATTATAGACAGAGCCGTCACATTTGAAGTTCAAAGTAGACGATCCTTTCATTTTCTAAACGAACACAATTTTTCACTGTTATACGAAACATAGTAAGTGTTCATCTTGAATATGCAAATACTGTACGACATCCCTTCAAATCAAATCATAGATCCGTCTGGATGGTCCTAGGCTACATTCGCGTAACCCGGTTGAAACGGTACGTGTGGCGCAGAAATTTTCCACGATAAGCAGAGCTAAAAAATGCACAGTTTCGGAAAATTAAAAACACTGTATCAAGAATAATATGCCCTTCTTTCATCTGTCCACTAAATTACATAACGTATCTTATAAACTACATGTGACTTGACATTGTTTAAGTAAGAAATAACGCAAATTGGCAATAGACAGTATTTTAGTTTCGGTCAGGTACGTCTGGACCCCTCAATCTACACGTACCAAATTTTCCTGAGGTCAGCCTCGGTCCAAATCTGTACCTGTCGTTTTCTTTACATGTTCAACCGGTTCAACCGTTACAACCGGATACGTGAATGTAGCCCTTGATTTTGGTCCTTCAAACCTACACAGTGATTGAGGCAGTGCAAAGCAGAGCAACGAAACAGATACTTGGATTCCGGAATTTATCATATCCGGATCGGCTGAAACTCATTACCAACTTGACATCCAATAAAAGTATTTCCACAACATTCTAGATTAGAATTGGTATTAGCACCGACTGTAAATACTTTAAAACAGACTGGATAATCATGTTGGGAGAACCAGGAACTCCTATAGATCCAAGTAACGTCACATTCAACCATATACCAATTCACATATTTCAATGATATAATTTTTAGTCCGGTGTAGAGGATCTTAATAGATCCTGTATCGGTAAATAAACTTAACTTGTATTTTATAGATGTCGGTTTTTGCTGTTATATTTTACAGGGCACTTGTAGGTGTTTGATGGTCTTTGGCGGTTCTAGGGCAATGGTAGTCCGAATTATTCTGATTTTTTATCGACTTTTTTTTTTTATATCGGTCTGGCGTCGATTAATAATCGACGCCAGACCGATATAAAAAAAAAAGTCGATAAAACGTCAGAATAATTCGGACTAGGGCAATGGTAGTCTTTTCAGTGTGTGTTCACGTGGAGTTGAGGTGAGATGTGGTTATATTTCCATTTGTTAAGCATATCAAACTACTACCTGTTATTAATAATAATAACATGTTTTAGTTAACCAGGGTTACATATTTAGACAATGTCTAGTTTACAATTATGGACCTATACATCAATATATATTATATACAAACATAACAACATTCTTAGATAACCGTATAACAATGCAGTATATGGTTTCATCACAGCCAATGTAACTTAAAATCCTAAAATAAGTTAATAATGAACGCTTGGATATCATACAAGTGTTCCTCAATGATATGGTTTAAGCTGACAGTGCAAGTTAAAAAGCTTTCATTTGAGATTAAACAAGTTTTATTTTCAAAATCCTCCCCATTTCTTCCGACTACCGTTTCTAAGGAAGTGCCGACATTTTAGTTTGTCCTTTGCTTGGTTACGAGTATGGGTCTCGCTGGGCGTAAAAAAAACCCATTACCTGTCAAACCGGTAATCATTCTATAACTGACCGTCTTGCGATTCAATGCACCGCGCACCCTGATCGGCAACCGATATCAAAATCAAACGCACTCACCTGAAGACTTTGAAACACTGCCAAGCTGGTTGTTACTAACGGGACATTTTCGAAAATTGTGTATCCAAAATAAAAGGTATATTACTGAAAATTCTTCTATAAATCCCATATATATCATTGGTTTTTCACGTGCATAGAACTGCACCAATACACAAAAACCTTTATTTTGAACTCGTAGTCTTCGTCGTGTAAACGCTTTACTAACAAAACACGTGCGAAATGCGACACTCCCAGGTGTGTACATGTAGTCAACGATGTGAAATTTGATAATTGAACCGTTCTCATGGAAATGACTGGAACTAGTGTTATTTTCACACAGGAAATATCTAAAATTCAATTAAAAGCTTTTTAACTTGCACTGTCAACTTTAAAGCACTATCAAAGTCGAACATACATACATGCAATGCTAATATAACAAAGGGTAAAAAGTGACATGATATGTACGCTAATATAGTGTGTATTACAATAAGACATCGAAGTCGGTGGTATAAAACGTAATTTAAAATAGAAAATTATCAAATGGCTTTTGCCTTTATTGCGTTTCCTTCATTTTATTAAAAAAAACACGAGGAAATTGTGTATATCATATAAATAAATAAATATATATCTACATCAAACCGATCGCCATAGATCAGCTGTTTGAGCATCACCAGAAATCGGGAAAAATACCAAGAAGAATGGTTTGTCCACAATTCTTTCGGCCATGTAGTAGAAAATCGGAACAATGCAAACATTTTAAGATTGAAAGCAGCTAACCTAAGGTTGGGAATCATATTGTTTATGACACAGGGACCTGATAATTGGTTACAGCTGTATGTGTAAAATTACTTAGTTTATGTCCAAATATAGCTGTTACCAATTCTCAGGTCCCTATGGTTTATGATGGTTACTATTCATGGCAAATATGGCGGTACAAATGGACACCTCAGTCGATGAAATAGAATGACATGATACGTTGTGGCTATTAACGCAATGAAATCTGCTGTGTCCTGCATGGCCGTGGTGACCGTTTTTGCCGCCACGTGGCCATGAATTATGCTACACTCTATTTCCAGGAAAGGTAATCGTATATATTCGGAAGACGAGATAGCATTTTGTGATAATCGGGAACCATCGGCACTTTCCGTATTTTTTCGTTTACGGAACGTGCCGACGGTTCCCGATTGATTCCATGCTCGCCGGAAAGACCCAAATATACCCCAAAATCACATTGATTTTTGCATTTATGAACACTTTGCGCGATAAAGTTATCATACCGTGGCTGATTTGTGCCATTTCGTTCTTTCGTCTTTTCGGGGCAAAAAGACGACTTTCGTCTTTCCGCACTATGGAAATATAGAGAACGAACTTGACAAATTTTAATCGATTAAAGATTACGTTATCTCGTCTATTTGCGAAAAGACGAAACAACAAATAAGTACAAATTAGCCACCGTTTTCTGAATATTTGATAATACATATAGGCACTTTCATTCGCCCTTTTGTCGCTTTCGAACCAGGGCATCCAATATATTTGGGGTTTTTTTGGCGTTGGATTTCGGAAGACTGGAAACATTAACGACTCGGTTTAGTTTCTTCACACTTGACCTTTAAGCTGGCTAGGACGATAATGATACAGTTAGCTGCAAAAGTAGATAAAACAACACCGTATGACATCCACATCGTTCCAAGATGTTCAATCATGTAACTTGTCAAATGTCTATTTGCAGCGTCCAGGTTGTCTATTTCTACAAGCGTCGCGTTGAAAAAACTGTTGGCAGTGGCAACAAGAACTATATGGTGTAACTGATGTGAATTACCAATGATATCAAACGTTTTTGGGAACCAGCGTTCTGGAAAATGGGCGACATATATCAATGCATTGATAAAGGCAAGTAAAACATGCCATTTATGGAGGCCTAGAGTTAAGTTTATTTCCGTATAAGATGGCCAAAGGCAGCGATGAAGTAAAGGCACTAGAAGCCAAATATAGAAGGCGCTTACAGTCGCAAGTTGGACAATTTTCGTGGCCTTATGTTGCATTCCAAGGTGAAACTTTGTCCAGCAGAACACTATAGTTACTTGTAACGATAAAAACACAGAAACTGGACTTGACCATTCTGCAAGAAATATTGCCAACTGCTTATCCCTGACCAAAAAGCAGTGACTAACGAGGGTTGTACCCATTGCATATATCCCTACGCAGCTGTAGTCAATGAAGAAACAAGTGTAATGCACACAATCCGATCGGTCGCAAAACCAATGCGCGAAAGAACTTCCGGTTAGAAGTATAAACACGCTTATTAATCCCGCCCCTAAAGGGTGAGATTCAGCATCATTGATGAAGTCAAAGGTCAAGGACAGTTGACATGCTTTTTGAGCTATAAATAGACAGCCAATGAGATGTGTCCAAACGTTGAAGGTCTGGTTGTTGGCCTGAAAGACGCTGGTGACGTAATAAGACCATGGTTGATGCGGTCGGCGGTAGCCGGTGTGTATGTGTTTATTACAAACAGCGGTCAGTCCATGATCACTTGAGGTCACGGTTGACGGGAAGTTAAAAAATCCCATACCAAACCTGTAACACATGAAAAAACCCGCAATACAATCATTTTGGCCCTTAAAAAGAATTTCATTGAGACAACAAATTACTTAACTTTAGTAGAAATTCCTCTGTCATCTGTACAAAATCTGTCGTTACAGCACGTGCTTTGAATTAACCACAGGAGTTGATTACAAATTTGTGAAACACACATATGCTATACGGATATCCTGTGAATTTACATAAGAAAACAAAATAGAATTTTCAAGGTAAATCTGCACATGTAGGCGTTGGTGAACTTGTGGGCGTACACTTAACTCTCTCGTGTTTTAATGACTAGCATATAATTATACAGACCACCTACAGGTAGACTTGAGCAAATCAAATACACATGTAATCGTGTTCATAAGCCATTCGTTATAATATATTTTGAGCGTGAAATTGAAAATACTGAATATGGAACGAAATATAATTTTCTGGTTAACAAGCACCAGTGTAAGTATAATTCGTTAAAAACTGTTCGGACTTAGAAATAGGTAATGCAATATGGAATTGCTAAATATAGTAAAAATATAGCTTGTTCACGGGCGCCGGTACAAGTATGGGCACGGATATCCATAACTAATTTCCGCACTTGGGAGTTAAGTCAACAGGAAACATTAGCCGCTATCTGTAACATAATATCTCTACAGTATGTAACAGGGGATTAAGTGGATAACACATCACATTACAAATGACTACTTGGACCAATAGAACAAGGTTTCCGTGTGAGTATCTCCACAAAGATCGAGATTTCAGTATACCTAGTCCTTTAGTGTAAGTGTTCGCTAGCATGGCACGAACATGTAATCGTGTTACGTGATAAAATCATTAATGCCAACAATGCTTGCCCTAAGAATGGGAATCTGAATCTTTAAATCAGCTGATTGATTTTCAATTCCTAAGAGGCTAGCGAGAATTGTAACTATTGAAACGATCAAAAACTATACCATGTTTCTCCCATGAATGAACTCCAAGGCCACAGGCTATGACGTCATATAGTCAGCAAATTTTAGGCTTCTCGTGATGAAATACCATGGTTTGTGTCCGTTCTTAAGAGTAAGTCATTACTATGAGCATTAGCAATTACATTATACACGATATTTAAAAAAAAGTTTTACTTGATGCATATTGTAATCAATCAGAGGTACACACACTATGCGAGGTAATATGCCTCCTTAAGTCAAATTTTAATTGGTTTACATCTTGTAAATAAATAACTTAATCAATAATCAATTAGGGAGTCAAACTGGAATAACTTTTTAAAAAACAAGGGAGCTAACTCCCACACATATCACAGGTATTAGTTGAAGCTACGTAGCATGTAACCTTAAGTAAAAGTTTAAAGATCGATCTTTTGTGATGTACTTTATTAAACAGTGATTTAAAAAAAAAGGTTTTTCTTTTCAATAGATTTTCCTTTAAATGCATCATTATTCTTTCACTGAAGTTTCAGTAAATTGAAGGCATGATCTAATAACATACTTATATTTACAATTTATATATTCATGGTCCTATTCACGCAGCTCCTTATGGTGGTGTTTATGTTGCGACTTTCAGCGAAAATGCTCCAATAGTCACGAGACGAGTATATCAATAGGTGTATGCATTATTAAGCCGGTAGATAGACAAAATACAAAAAAACAACAACAAAAAAAACCCACATAGGTAAACATTTAGGACGCGCGCGTGTGTGTATATATATATATATATGTACATATGTAATTCGTATCCTACGGACATACCTCCAATAGGATCCAGTGTTATATGGGATTTTACCGTCTATATTACTTCTTTGACCCATATATGTACATATGAATATATATGTACACTGTCGTAATTTATTTAAGTGGTATTGACTTGCCGTAATGTTGGTGTTGTGCTTGTTCTATATCGTCACTAAACTGGAACATTAAGAATGGCCTGGTGACAGCTGGTGACCTCATAATACTTTAATGTAACTACAGTAGTTGAAATTGACTCTATGAGGAGTTCACGAGCTAGAACGTAACATTTTTATGATATTCCCTTCTTCATAATTGAAATATTATGGTCGAGCACACATGTAGTATATCTAACTGTCTAAGCGTGGAATTGTGATTATATATATATATATATATACATGTAGATACTTTGCTTATAAGCACGAAGGAAATACTTATATATAGGTAATACTAAACACGCTTCCTGGTTAATTCACAACTGGGTATGATTTAAATAACTGTTTCAATTTCAACAACTTACCTGTATTACTGCACTTTACAACACATCCGACGTATTTACTACAACTTTTTCTCACGTTATCTATGTGTCCTGTCTCATACACAACACAGGTATTTAAATCCTGTCTTCGTGAATACACAGTAATACTGACTCAAACGAAACTTAATTCTTTGCAAGATCATACGTTAACTCACCTTTGGATTCGGCCGATGATGAAGCTTGTGCATTCGTTATCCATGTGTATACATATCTTACAGGGAGTTCACGTAGAAATCGGATGTGCTTAGCCGGAACCATCCATCCGTCACTTCAACTCCTGAGAGCTCGCGTTATATGCCAACAGGGACGACACGCTTCGCAAGCCTTGCTTAACGATACATGTTCATGCTACCTAAATGTAACATTTACCTTCTTTCCAAAGAGTTCCGTGCTTCGAAACCTTTACAATGTGCGTTATGTATATGCTTTTTTTTTAACTTAAAGTTGATTGTGAAAACGTTTTATCTTGATGGTGCATTTATATCACTTGTGTACATAAAGTAGTCCAGGCAAAAGCGTAAGTTAAGCTGTAAGCACTAAATGCTATCGGGAATAGTGATAACGAGGGGAGATAACCCTTACAGGTGATGTGATTTTATTATTTTATTTACTTCCCACCCTTCGTAATACACATGTTTTTCTTGTCGTATTTTCGTGTCGTCATTTCCGTATTGCGTATCGGGTATTCCATTTTATAGTAACACCGGGTAAACAATAGTACACGTGCGTGGCGATGATATGTCAACACCCGATATCGAGACTTAACTTGGTAATGTGCAATCACACGCACTTCAGAAATAAAGCTTATGATACAAAGATATTAATTCACTCACGGGAAAACACTGACATAAGATCAGACGACTGCAAGGAGGTCGTATATGAGGCGCATGGAATGCAGACTGGTGTGTTTTGTTTACCGACCTCACCTGTATACGTACGTATCACGTGCTAACAGTAGTTCACAAGATCGTGGTCGCTACGACTTTTGTTGTCGAGCGAGTTACGCTCTGGTTTGTAAAACATCAAGATCCCATTAAATGCAAATGCATGTGCGTGCACGTAATAACAGCATACCATGCGATAGCCTATGGTTACATATGTACCTACCATGCGTAAGCGGGCTATGGAATGATGTCCAAAATGTTCATGATTGAGAGTAATTTTGTTCCATAAAAAAACAGTAAATTGACAATTAAATATAGTAATTTAATTTATTTCCGTCGTTTTTGGTATAGCAAAGGAAAAAAGTGTCATTGTTAATGTATAAATTATATCCCTCTGCAAAAGGTTCCGATTTTTTTCAAGGTAGACAACTCTCATCAGGATCAAAATTATTGTAAAATGTAAAAGAAATGAATTATTAGACTTTGTGTGTATTTGGTTCAATTTTTCACTCTTATTGCATGAAACTACGTGTCCTGTTTGTTTTTAGCTTGTATTTAGTAACTTTTATCCATACATTTTCAATAAAAAACGCTTTTTGTAACATGTTGTAGATATTTTATGATGTAGGGTTGATAAGCAATATTTCTTTTCATTAATTTATTGTTGTAATAGTTTTGAACAATGCCACACGCTCAAAAAGTGAAAGTGTTGAATTTGACAAAAAATCAATTATTCGGTACCAACAAAATCCCCAGTTTATCGGAATGCTTAGATTTTCATAAAATCATCTCTACATAGTGATATTCCGTCTTTGCGTGTTGCAGAGTTATCTTCTCTTGTGAGCAGGTATTGACTGTTACGTCATTGGTTTGTGAGGGTAACGTCATCATTTTTGGAGAAAACGACGTACTTTTCTCAAATACCTGCTCACAAGAGAAGATAACTCTGCAATACGCAAAGACGGGATAACCATTATGTGAAACTTTCATTGAGTTCGCCTGGCTAATTGCGAAAGGGTGGAGCCTCTTTAATAACATTAAATAGTTAATTATTTAATATTTAAAGAGATATGCTACCTTCATGTGAAAAATATCTTCTTTTTAAAAAGAGTTTCACTCTTATAGCTACCTTTACAAGATATTTCATAAATAATGATTTGAAAGGTACATAGGAATGGGTGACCGCTTTCAACTGTACAAAAGGATATAAATGACAGAGTATACAGAAGTTGATGGCATCTTTGAAACACATGAATTAATGACGTATACATTTTTTTTTAAATGAAGGGAGTTAACTCTGATATTAATGTGCAAGAGAGTGCACACTCGTATTAAGGTGGTAAATGTTAGAGTCGAACTTGGCTGTCTTCTCACGCAACCTTGATCTGTGGTCAAGTGGCCCAAGTGGTACTAGTACAAATTGCCTACGGGTATAAATTGTGTATATGTAAACAAGGACTGTGTGGCGAAATGACCCTTGGTACCTAATGCGTACAGTACCAGTAAATGTGTTTCCTGTATAAAGTGGTGACTATTTCCCTGTATTTATTTCGATGCAGCAAAGACCGCCATCTGTATCTTATAATATGAATAAGTACTTGTATCAATGTTATTTAACATCAAGTATTTTAACACCAGTTGACTCCTGTTCCGGCCGGCTTTTCTAAATAACATTCAACCTGCATCTTCAGCAACAGTGACTTAGGTATAAAGATACAATACCGACTATATATTTGTCAGTTGTCGTATTCAGACGTCACAATGTTGTGAAATCATGTCGGAAAAAAGTGCGAATGGTCAATTTATGAAATTTGACAAAAAAAAGAAAATGAGTAAAAACTGTGTGAAAGAGGTATGGCGAACGGAAACCCCCCTACGTTGAGAGCATTCATTGTTCGGGGATTGAACCCATGGAGTCCTTGGATTTCAACCCTGACAATCCCTAGCCCAACTATTGCTGCAGAATAAAAACAATTGAAACATAAAGAAACTAAACAAAACATCTAAAAAGAATCACAAGGCGTTTCAGCTTACCGATCTTGTAAAAATATGTCTTAATTTAGCCAATGTTAGCGCAGAAACTAATACAGATGGCCGCACAGCAAACGCATATCCTCGAAACCAACGAGTACCGCGGCAAAGACTCGTGTTATGCTTCAAAAATCTCACCGTAACGTCTTAATTGCTCAGTCTACATAATAAAGAAATATAGTTTCTATTAATTATCGTCAGAATGCGTCAGCCTCTGTGCGTTTCCTGGCTGTATGTCATAAAATTCACATATTGCCATGGGAATAAAAATAGTGCAGGTGTATGCATGACATGTCGAAATAAGTTTTAGCCCTATGCATTCCTTGTAGTAATAATAATAATAATAATAATAATAATAATAATAATATACAGCATTTATATAGCGCCCTATATAATTTGTAAAATTACTCTAAGGCGCTTTACAACATATGGATAATAGTAATGGTTATAATTGTGAAAACAAACAAACAAACAAACAAACAAACAGACCTGACAGAAGAAATAAAAGCCAAAATTGTTGATTTTTAAAAGTAGATAATATCCCTTTCAACATGCCGTTTACAAATAATTTGCCTGCCTTCCAACAACATCCCAACTTGTGACGTAGGCAGATATCCCATGTTGCATTGCAAGTGTGTTTCGATGGCGTCCATTCTGTGTCTGCACCACGATTCAGTCAACAATATCAATATCGTTACCTTTACTCGTTTGGATAACTTAAAAGAGGTCAGTTCTTCATATTTCCTTTTCAATGCGTGTTATATGTCCCAACAGGCAATGTCAGAGCACAGGGGTTCGTTACAAATGTGTGTTTATGTGTGCTGTGACCCATACCAGTAAAGCATTTGTGTATTTTAGACGTTTTTAGGCAAAATACACTCCAATGTGTATTTTGGAGATTTGTAACAAACCTCTGGGGTTGGAGCGATGGTAACTTCCATTTGCAATCGGGAACCGTCGGTATTTTCCATTAACGAGAAAAATAATACTCATTTACGGAAAGTGCCGACGGTTACCGATTGCATTCATTTGTAGGTTGTTGATATCACTGTAAATTTCATTTACATTGTAGTTTGCATGTTGTTTACTACATTACTAGCAATGCAGTACAGCATTATTTTATGCTATCAGTTTTTTTAATATTAGTATTGTTTTTGTCTCAAGTCTTTGCCTGTTTACATTGTGGCCGAATAGTCTTACTGACGTAACCGCCTACAGTGGCCATTATCTATCTTAACAACTTTGAAATATCGAAATGGCGTGGGTTTCTTTTACCGAAACGGAGAGCATGTCTGCGGACGGAAAATACATTTTACTTGGATGTAGGAGGTTTGTGAAAATAAACGCGTATTTTGGTGTATATATCGACTAAACATATTATCTTAGATGCGAGGAAGTTATATATGGGGTCATTTTTTTCCATCTCAAGAGCTTTCCTTTCTTTTTGTATATTCCGTCTTTGCGTATTGCAGAGTTATCTTCTCTTGTGAGCAGGTATTGATTGTTACGTCATTGGTTTGTGAGAGTAACGTCATCAATTTTTGAGAAAACGACGTAATTTTCTCACACAAACCAATGACGTAACAATCAATACCTGCTCACAAGAGAAGATAACTCTGCAATACGCAAAGACGGAATACCAGCATTGGGAGAGGTTGGGGTGCATTTTCACCGAAAGTTACTCTGAACAGATCAGTTTAAGTCAAACACATAGCTGCTGTGGCAAATTATCGGGTCCTTGTTCTCATTACATTCCCTATCATTGTAATTTTCTGTACGAGGGTTATATGTCTGTATGTCTATAAACAGCAGTAAGTACAGCCTCCAGCATTGTCAGAGCAAATGTTATACCACGGTATTAGATTAGATCTAAGTCCATGGTTATACTTGTAATTGATATAAAGTTCGAAGCATACTTACTACAATCCATCTTAACAAAACTACTCAATATAAATGCACGGTGTAAGCTCCTTTCCGATGACAAAGTTTGATATCGAAACTGTTTTAAAGTGATTTTAATCAAACACACACGCGTCGTCCACGAATTCAAATGATGATACAGCAGCCATCAAAGACAAACAGTTCTGTATAACGTTATAATGTAAATATTTCCTTATCTATGTTCAACCCAAAATTGGCAACGCTTTCACGAAGTTTTTAACCATTGTCATTGTACATGAGGGTAAAAATGGCCAAATACAACCTGCTGTAGTGGAACTGGAGTTGGCCAATCGGCGGCGACCAGGTAGCTCAATTGGTGGAGTGTCATCTAGAGTTCGGGTGGTCCAGGGTTCGAACCCCGGTCTGGCCGTGCAGTTTCCGCTCTTGTTACAAAACTGGCGAGCTTGCCACTCGTTGTTTCAATCAATGGGTAAATGCCTGGCAAGAGGATACCCGAACCTGGTTAATTAGAAAAAAATGTCTCCGGGGGCGACGATTTAGAAAAAGGAGGGAGGAGTGTAGCAGAACTGGACTGGATTGATGGTTGGCGACCAGGTTGCTCAATTGGTAGAGCGTCCGTCTAGAGTTCAAAGGGTCCCGAGTTCGAACCTCGGTCTAGCCGTGCATTTTCCCGCTCCAGTTACACTTCGTCAGGACACCAAACAAAGAGAGTGTTTTGAGGCTCTGTGCTATGTTGTTCATGGGCGCAGATCCATCACATTAATAATTTATAAGCCAGTAAGTTCATCTTCAGACCCTCGCGGATGCACTTTCTTCCACTGAACACCATTCATAGGTGAAAAAATGGGCGAAAAGAAACAACCCGTTTATACCCGACGTGATAAACGTGATGTTGCCATAAATATCTCCCCTGTCACGTAGGTATAAACACTGTCATGTTTCAGCTAGTTCAATGTTTTTTGGCAGTCACTGATTTATCCAAGACATATGCAGCTTCTTTTGACGGATCCAAAGTAAGTTCTTCTGATAATGAGCGAATCAAACGTTCATCAGATATCGAATCAGCATGCATGACCGTCATCATCCTCGATACTCCAGGGGGGTTACGCCCACTTTCGCTCCCTGCACCCCTGGAATATGTCATAGCAAACTCGAATGCTCAGCGTTTTCCACATTGGGGATCCATGAGACAAGAATAGTTCGATCCTTAGATGTATATCAAAAGAATCTCGCGGTTGCGTAACATTAAAAATTGATTGGCTTTGAAGTCGGATGTCGCCCCTCTGTAATCTTCAAAGGACAGGAATAAGCTTAGTGATTGGTAAGGCTTTTTTTGCCTGACTTCTACCTATCAAACAGCTATCTTCGTGTCTCCAATTTTGCTATGACATAATTCCATTGGTTCAGAGAGCAAAAGTGAGTGTAACCCCTGGAGTATCGAGGAGGGACCGTCATAAAATGCTCCGTTTATATCTTCGTCACAAATCTCATTGTTATATAGATGTGCTTCGCTATTTGGGTCACTCTGTGTGACTCTTGCATTGCTGTTCGTGTTTTCTCTCTCCTAAACTATGTGATACCTTCATGATTGCAAACAGGGCCGCTACGGCAATAAGGACACAGTCAGAGCATATCACCAGCAGAACTGACCCATACGAATTCTCAACTGTTCCAAGTTCTCCGGTCATATATTTTATAAATTTTATAGAAGACAACGATTTAATTTCTTCAAGGGTAACGTTGAGAAAGTTATCCACAGAAACGACCAGGATAATGTGGTGCAACTGGTGGGATTGGCCGATAAAATCAAACGTTGTTGGGAACCAGCGCTCAGGCACATGCGCAATATATACCAACACATTGAGCTGGAACAATATCACGTGATATATATGAAGCCCTAAGGTATTGTCATGGTAACATTTTGACTGCCAGAAGTATCGCTGTATTAATGGCAGCATAAACCAGAAGTAACTTGAATATACAGCAAGAGCTCGGAATATATTGCAAAGTTTGTGGGCTCTTCCAAAGCGAATTTTCGAAAAAGAAAGCAACACAGAGAATTGTACTGCCAAATAAATGCATCCGGGTCTCGACCAGTTGACTAGAAAAGCTGCCAGACCTTTTCCTCTCACGAAGTATGTTTGACTGATCAAAGCACAGCCCATAGAATACAGCCCTATGGCGTCGTAGTCCATGCAAAAACATGTATAATGTGCCACTTCAGATCTGTCGCCGAAAATGTGAGCAAATGAGCTAGCAGCCAAGAGAGTCAAAATGCATAGCAACCCTGCACCCAAGGGTCGAAACATGGGATCGTGTAAGAAGTCGCAATTCAATGAGATATCATATGATCTGTATGCTATATATAGAAAGCCAATGACATGTGTCCACACATTGAGTGTCTGGTTGTTGGCCTGGAAGACGCTGATGACGTAATAGGACCAGGGTTGATGTGGTCGAAGATATCCCGTATGGATGTGTTTCTTGCATATTTCAGATGGCATGCGTTCAGCTAGGGTCAAGGTCGGCGGAGAATATGGGAACTTCATTATTACGGTTTCTGAAATAGGAATAAATCAATGGAGTTCAGACTCAAAGATATCAACATAAAAAAAATACCATAATACTTACTGGATGTATATTTGTTTAATTGTAAAAAAACTTATATTTCAAGAGTCGTCGTTGGATTTTAGGTCAAGTCCAGTGGATAACGAATGCAAATTTCTCTTGCCTATTGAATATAATATTAGGAAATAATGCTGAACACATAAAAGTCTCTGCATTTTTTTTTACCTTTGGTACATGGAACACTAACATATTATGGAAATTGTTAATCTATTATTCCTGAATATTACAAGTTTTTGTTAGTTGTTCTAACTAATGCAGTGTCATTGTAACCAGTAAGTATTTACCAGTTTCTAGACGTACAAAAACGTCTTCACCAAACTCGTCGTAAAATCTTACACCTAGCTATTTGAACTTCATTTCTATCTTCATTAGTGCGACGTCCCATTTCTTCATGATTTCATGCATTCTGTTTTCATTTGACGTCATACCGGGCTTTATTAAGTTTGTCATCAATAGCCATGTGTGTAATAGGACCATAACAACATTTGCTGATATAATGCTTTATTTAGTTGTTTCGAACAATATTTGAACAGCAAATCAAGTGTTTTGACAACAATGATATTGATGACGTTACAAAAGAGATTGATAACGTTACAATAGCAAATCTTGTTATAGTCTCACAACATTTGCCTTCGCAATGCAGAGCAAATGTAAAAATATTACATAATTCGGTAGCAATGTGATAGAAAATATAATGTAATATACACTACCTTAGATAGTTAGGCATCAAACAGCAATGCAAGTCTTTCCATGTGAGATAACCAACAGATATGTACTCGACGAAGAGGAAGGTAAGTCTACTAGTAGTGTTGGTGGCATCCATCACCGAAGTATAAACTGTCAATATAGCATGCCTCGAGAAAAATACATTAGAATTAATTTGAATAATCGCACTTTAAAATTTAGGCAAAACTATGGTGACTGATTTCGGCTATCTCGCGTTGTCGAGTTGGCGGGGGCGCCAATACATATGTATAGAGACACTACACTCGAGAAGTGGAATAAATGGTATGTGAATTTTGAAAAATTCAAAAGATCTTTTTGTCATACTTGTTTTTTGATGACGTTACAAAAGAGATTGATAACGTTACAATAGCAAATCTTGTTATAGTCTCACAACATTTGCCTTCGCAATGCAGAGCAAATGTAAAAATATTACATAATTCGGTAGCAATGTGATAGAAAATATAATGTTTGACTTTTTGACCATTTACATTACCACACCTCAAACCTACATGAAATAACACCTACGTTCTCTTGTAATCGGCTCTTTCTTTTCAAATAAAGACGAACGGTGATATAAATATGTGGTTGTAAATTATTGTGGAGCATATTTTGTGAAAACTACAACAAAGGCCAAAATGAAATATACTGAGGACGATATTGTGAGAATTTGTTGAGTTTGGTGTCAAGATTTTCCAGCAGAGTGGAGGCATTCCTTTGGGAACCAACTATAACCCTCTTCTGGCCGATTTGCATTTGTTTTACATAATATGAAGCTGAGTTTATTGATTAGCTTATCATGACTGATAACAAAAGACAAGCCGAGTCCTTCAATTTCACATTAAGATATACCGACGATGTGCTTTAAATAAAAAGAAATTCATTGACCACATCGATCGTTTATACCCTCTAGAGCTTGAAATCAAGATCACTACAGAGTCTTATACTTGAGCCGCTTTCCTGTATCTTTACTTACAACATGGCGGCTAACTTTTATAGCTGTACGGTAAGTGGGGCGATTTCGACTTTCCGATCGTGAATTTACTTTTTCTTGATAGTAACATCCCTGTTTCCCCTACCTACGTTGTGTATATGTCGCAATTTATTCGGTAATCAAGAGCTTAACTATGACTGCCGTGATGTATGTCGACTGCTGACGGACAAAATCACACCACAGGGATTCATAAGCTTCTGGTTGATGAAGACGATAGACACGTTTTATAGTCGACATCATGATCTCGTAGGGAAATAAAGCTGTTTCTTTGTGTGATATAAAGGTCGGTGTTTTACTTATGCTCATTAGAGTACCTTGTGGTTTTGTTGTCACTACCCGAGGTCTTGGTATAAGGACGTGGTAATACTTGGACTTGACCTAGATTTACATATTTAGCGTAGCGGGTGTCTGATGAAGCAGTAGACGCTTACCCTTCCGGACACCTCGTCTATGACACTTGTTCTTTTCTAAGGGTCTCCGTTTAAATCTTTCCTATGTCCATATTTTGCCCTCGTTTTATCGATTTTGAGAATGAATTATGGTTCTGTTGACATTTAGGTATTGTCTTTTTGGTTGTGCTTGTTTGAAACGTTTTAAGAGGAAAAGGAATAACTCAATGGATGGAATTTGTAATCGGTAAACAGGGTGAGAGTAGATATATGTTGTTTTTCATGATATTCGATGTGGGAGATAAAACATCGAGTCGGGGACAGAATTAGAGAAAGTGCACTTCTTTGTGGCACTCCAGTCATCACCGGTAAAACTACAGTTGGGGGTGAGGCTTGGAGTGTCACAAGGAACTGGCCTTAGTTCAGAAGAAACCATTCAGAAAGCGGAAAGACAAACCTCTCATCCCTGACACATGAACGCAAAGTTTACATTGACGCTAGAGATGGGACCAACATCCTTAATTCATAGACCAACCGATGAGTCCTAAAAGGACGAAACAGCTTTATGGTGCAGTGTAATTCATTTTTGGATACTGTATCTATTACCAAAGCTTAATGTTACAGTATCATGTGTGTGTGTCTTAGGTTCATATTTCATACGATAGGATTTTCAGGCAAGTAGACGTATGACAACTCAAGAAAAGTGAATAGTGATAATATTTATTTACGTAAAAGAAGAGGATTTACAAAATTAACAAAAAACAAATATACCAGTTCAATGGTTAAATTCATTCGACCACTCACTGGAACTTCTGAAATGTACACGTATGCGAACATACCATCGTAAACCAACGTCCACACTTTCCTAATTAAACCGTACCCGGTAACAAAGTCGTCAGTTTCAGATAAAAACAAGTTACATGGTTTTTTCTGAAAGACATTTAGTGGGTCTTTTAATCCAAAGAACATAATGATAACTCTGAGTTTCTACAGCGTAATAGGCGAATGAATGTTTTAACCGTTGTGTTAGATGATGACTGAAAGTTTGTTAGCGGAAGACCAGTTCTGTTCTGTGACGTTTCTGGACAGTAGACCGACTATAGGGGCGCAGTAAGGCATAGCTTATAGTACCTTCATGTACCTTTTTCACACCTATAATATTCTTTTCGATCACGACAGCCAGTTAAATTCGGCGAATGATTCAATCGATGGCTTTGATAAATCATATTCGTCATTATTTTTACGGAATGGCTGTCGGTTTTTACCCCTTTTTTAACAGCGAATAACTCGATCGATGTCGACAAAAGAAGTAAACGTATTATTTAAGAGGATGACATTTTTTTTTTATTCAGTGAATAACCCCATCGATCTCTTTAAAATATATTTATTCTTTTTGGGAATGATAGCCATGTTACTGCAAGAAATAATTCGATTGAGGACGTTTATATAATGAATGTTTTTTCATTGAGAGAATGCAAGCCATGTTAGTAAAGCGAATAATTAGATTGTGGGCGTTAATAACGCAAATTTATCTATTAAGAAAATAAAAGCCATTTGAATTCAACGAATAATTTGCACGAGGACGCTTATAAAATTTTATGATACGTACAGAACGTTTCAGTATCATGAATATGAACAATAATGATAAATATACACAGCATGTTTGTGAATAAAAATCAAAAGAACTTTTGAACAGAAATCACATGCAGGATATCTTTCGAACATCGATCGACCCAAATATACATCAAAACATTTAGAATATAAATCAAAAGATTTAGAATAAAACATCATACGATTTTGAATATAAATAACCGGTTTCGAATATAATCACATGATTTTTTAAATTCCAATCACAAGTTTATCATACAAATCATACAATCTAAAACACCAGTTTAAGAATTGCAAATGTAAACCCACCACATGCTGACCTTCTCTCCGTATTATCATAAATTACATATATGGAACAAACGAAAAGATAGGCTGAAACAAGTGTAAGGGAACGGAGATGCCCCAACCATGCAAAGTAGACATTACACACGATCATACATTGTGTTTATCAAGGCTACACTATTATTTAATCATTGGGATTTGTCAGCTACGTATGCAGATTCTAAGGAAGCTTCCAAATTAAGTTTTTCAGATGATTCAGTAATCCTTTTCCCACAAGGTAATGCTTCTGCTTCTCCGTCATAGAATGGTTCATTTATATCTTCGTCACATATCTCGCCGTTAGATAGATGTGCTTGACCATTTAGGTCACCCTGTGTGATTCTAACGCTGTTGGTCACTTCTTTTTCTCCTGAACTTTTCGCTACCTTCCTGATCGCAAACAGGGTCGCTATAGCCATCGCAAAACAGTTGAAATATATTATCAACAATACTATTCCATACGAATTCTCAACTGTTCCAAGTTTTCTGGTCATATATTTTACATATTTTATAGAAGGCTGCGATTTTATTTCTTCAAGCGTGACGTTGAGTAAGCTATTTACAAATATCACAAGAACAATATGTTGCAACTGGTGGGATTGACCGATAAAATCAAACGTTTTTGGGAACCAGCGTTCAGGCACATGCGCAATATATACCAAAATATTGAGCTGGAAAAAGATCACGTGATATATATGAAGACTTAAGGTATTGTCATGGTAACTGTTTGACTGCCAGAAGTATCGCTGTATTAATGGCAGCATAAACCAGAAATAACCCGAATACACAATAAAAGCTTGGAATATATTGCAAAGTTTGTGGGCTCTTCCAAAGCTAAGTTTCGCAAAAGAAAGCAACACTGTAAATTGTGCTGCAATATAAATGCATCCGGGTCTCGACCAGTTGACTAGAAAAGCTGCCAGACCTTTTCCTCTCACGAAGTATGTTTGGCTGATCAAAACACAGCCCATCGAATACAGTCCTATGGCGTCGAAGTCCAAGCAGAAACATGTATAATGTGCTAATTCAGATTTGTCACCGAAAGTGTGAGCTAACGAGCTAGCAGCCAAGAGAGTCAAAATGCATAGCAACCCTGCACCCAAGGGTCGAAACATGGGATCGTGTATGAAGTCGCAATTCAATGAGATATCATATGATCTGTATGCTATATATAGAAAGCCAATGACATGTGTCCACACATTGAGTGTCTGGTTGTTGGCCTGGAAGACGCTGATGACGTAATAGGACCAGGGTTGATGTGGTCGACGATATCCCGTATGGATGTGTTTCTTGCATATTTCAGATGGCATGCGTTCAGCTAGGGTCAAGGTCGGCGGAGAATAGGGTAACTTCATTATTTCGATTCCTGAAAAAGGATCAAATCAATGGAGTTCAGCCTCAAGATGTTCACTACTACATGCTCATTCGAATTTAATACATATGTACATCTTAACTTTCAAATAAAGCTAAGCATATTGTTTAAGTCTGACCTTGACATTGTTTTCCGTTCAATTTTCGTCTTTTTGATTGTCAATAAATGGTGTATATTTTTTCAGATTGTGTATTGTCACACTGATTCATCATTATTTAAATATCCTTTTCCATTTTGTTAGTGAGATATTTAAAGGTTATGATATGATTATTACCATTTATTATATACTTAAAAATAAATACGGTTTTTTTGTATATGCTCGCCGTATCAGCCCGCAAAACCCGTATCACTACCCATTTGGATTTTTTTCTTTTTTCAATATTTATTAGTATGTAATAAACAGAATAAGACATGCCCTTTTCCATATGGCATAGGGCCCAGTATCAACCCGAGACCAGTATCAGCCCTCAGGCCTTCAGCCCTCTGGCTGATATTGGTGTCTCGGGTTGATACTGGGTGTGATATGAAAAAAGGCATGTATTATTCTCTATTTATTATACCTTCTGTTAAAATCTCGTAATCTGATTGGTTGAGAAAGATGTGAACATTTTCAATGTTACTTGCTCGTTTTACAAAGATAAAGAAGACAGGGTGACATTCCAAAAAATATCACATGCGCCAAACGTATGCGTGCACGGTTCGTCCCAGTGCCAGGGTGTTATTCCAAAAATTGTTACATGCGCCAAACGTATGCGTGCACGGTTCGTCCCAGTGCCAGGTTGTTATCAAATCACATTCATGGTTGGTTCATTCGACAACTGTTGAGATGAAGTCTTGGTTTATATCAAATCAACACAAGGACCTTTAAAAATGGTGAAGTGGTGAAACACCTAAACATGACACTCGGTATAATAAAATAAAAATCACATTCATGAGAGGGCGATATTGCATGTGATATTTATATAATCCTATCTCATATCAACCCTCGATCCATATCAGCCCTCGTGCCTCGGGCTGATATGAATATTTTGGGTTGACTGGGGTAGAATTAGAAAATAGTCAGATGATAAACATTTTATCATAAACAAAACATTGTAAATACATGTGTTTAAAAACAACATCACAATTTTCGGTGAGTAATGCAAATCTACTGTAATTGAGGTGTGATTTGTCCCGATCTTTGCTGAACCGGAAGTAATACGGATATAGTGCCTGCCGGACGGACATCAGTCTCTCCGGAATATGACCTATATGGATAGCTAGCAGTATGGCACATGCAAAACAGCCCATAACTTTCAACTTGAAAAACCTTATATCGGTCATTGTGTGGAGATATCGCTTACTTTATTCGAAGCCACCGTTTTTCTGCTATGCTGCAGAGGACGCGAATTGTTTTGGTACATCTTACTCAATATACATAAGGGTGTTTACTAAACGACACAGCTGACGTCATTGTTGCCAACATACCTTACTAGATGATGACAGAAAACTAGACTGCATTGGGTAGCCCATAAATAGCATACAACCTTGTTAAACATGACGTCATTAGAATACGACGCCAAACATTACGTCATTAAAGTTGAAACAATACTTATGTTCTCTATTTATCCCATTTTAAACAGTGAAATATTTTCTACTCTAAAAACAACCAATACTTTTTCGTCCTTCTCACCATCTGAACAATCAGCGAACGGTGTGTAATATGAACGATAATAAATAATAGGCATATTCAATAGCCATGGTGTTTTCTTATTGTGACGTCACAATACAGCTTTCCTTGTCACAACATTTCTGTTTCAGGGAGCAGAAAACAACGTAATAAACAGGTTGATTTTTAAATAACAATAAAATATCACTCGTTAGTTGAATACTTTTAAAATATTTTTCACCGGTGCGCACTCGTCAAAAAAATCCAAGTATTCTTCTTTCTCGGGATTCAGCTAGAAGCCGAGAATATGAGTAAGTCCGCATTTGACATAACAAGAAACTTAAATAGTTCTTTTTGTCATTTTGACAACAGTTATTGGTTCTTCCTTGCGAAAAACCATTGTAAAATCTTGCTTCTTAAATATTTTGACTTCATGCCTATTTTCGTCAATGCAACATACACCATACTCTGACGTCACATTAACTGGGTTAATTATGACGTCACTGAGCGCCTTAGTCAGCCATGGCAGTTCCATTGAACTAAAAAATGTACATTCTTAGGTATACATATCTTTTCGATTTTTTTTTAATACGATAATGTAAACAGTATAAACATTTTGGATTGAATATACATTTATTGACAAACAAAAATAATTAAAAAAAAATCTTACACAAACTTTAACACGGTAGCCATGCGTTAAAAGAAAACTGTAAAAGCGTTACCTTTGATGACAGTAGACACCAAATGAACAGCAATACTAGCTAGATAACCCGTGTGAGCCGTGGCCGACAGGAATATGTTCCGTGTACTGGAAAGTAAATAGACTTGTAGCGGGTCTGTGTGATCCATCACTTTTCATCAGCTGCCAATACGTAAAGCCCCCAGGAATTGTTTGTTCCGTTAGTTTTGGGGGTTTACATCCTCGTTACCAAATAGCAGGGCATGTGTCCTCAGATGATTGGTCAATCAACGGCTACTTAAAAAGTGTCATCTCGCTGAATGTCATAAAATAGACAAGGTATACGAAGTAGCGAACTCCACCCGGTCACGTCATACTGATAACGGGCTGACCAGCTGGGTGCTAGCTGCTAGCTATAGGGAGACACTGACGAACAAAAAATAGATAATATTTGTTTTTGCTTTCATATCGTTTAACGACCTATCGACTTTGTAAGTCATTCAAGTCCAAACATGATAAAAACAGCAGTTAACAAAAAATGCATATATACGTGTAAAATAGGTTAAAGGTGAAAAATGTAAAAAAAAAAAAACCCAACAAAAACAAACGAATTGGAGAAGGGAAGAAAGAAGAGATAATAGAAAGGTCACAAGTGCTGTTATGAGGAAAGGAGATCGATTTCGGTTTCACACAATAAAAACACCATTACTGCACAAGGCCCACATTAGTTGCCTTAAATAATTGGATTCTGCACGGTCCTTTCATTAGTCGCCTCATATGATCATGTAGTGGGATACACCAGGTCTATGTATTTAGAATAAACCGAATATATATAATATGTACATGTACATTTAAATAACTGTTTAAATCATCTCAACCCAGAAATTTGATGATTAAAAGATGCATGTCAACATTAATCTGTCTATATGTGTAGGGCTGCAATATCCCTGCAGGCAGTATGCATAGCTTAATTCTAGACGGAAAGTCTCAAGACTCTTTATCAAGCTCGTCGATATGTGTTGCCTCTAGGAAGTCACCCCGACGACAGCTAGTCTAGCTCGTCCTTCTACGCTTCGTAACCGCAGTAATGCTTAGAGCTCCTCCGGTGTATGCTAAGTCTGGATTAAAATGTTTTAAGTCACTTGTTATTGGAGGGACAACTTAGAAATCCATGTCTGTTTCTTTCCTTTTCTCCCGTTCCTTATGCTTCCTTGAACTGTTAAATTTTAGCAAGGAGTCCATGCGAGATGCACACACTAGTACTTTCAGGGAGGTTACACTGTATATACGAAAACTCACAGTACAGTGGGACTGGGATCCTTAAATGCTGAACAGCGGGGTTCCAATATGTCTCTTTGTTCCATTTACCTCACCGTTTGGTAGTCTAGAAGGAATCTTTTCTGTTTTGTTTGTCTGTTTTCAAATGTAACATTTTTGGGTATAAATCCTGGCGGACCTGCTAATGTTTATGCAGGCCTTGCAATGCTTTGTCAATGCTCGCCTGAAAGCATCATCAAGTTTCTAGGTTCAACCTTATTTCATAAACGAACAACTCGGGTACAAACGGTCCAACCCCTCGGATCGCGATCTGCTGCCATCCTTTTTTGGGGTATGTGATGGTCCATATAGTAGTTTGGATTCAACCGGTGAGAATTTGTATGAAGACGCTTGGCAGTTCTTATTTCCGGTCGAGATGAATCTTCAAATGAATTAAATAAGTTATCTATTCTTTAAAATGAGTAATTTATATCTTTAAAAGAAATATGGATATCTTTAAAAGAAATGGATATTCCTATATAAAGATACTTTTAAATATGATATAAAGATAATAGAGCTACAATGTACCATTAAAAGATATATCTAATTGAATTAAAGATATTTTTAAATGTAATAGCAGATATTTCTCAAATACATAAAAGGATTATATTAGATATCTCTATTATTTATTAGATTTCTCCTAAATTAATAAAGAGGTATGTTTTAAGTATAAGTGTTATATGATCTTGCCGTAGTTCAGTGTTCCGTAGTAAGCCTTGTGTTGGCCGCACTGTTTTGTCTGATCCTGTGCATCGTATAGTATGACCTCTCGTAGAGTGTAGCCCTACGCCTAATATATATACTCTGACGTGAATAGGACCTGCCCGTGGGTAGATTGGATCCTTTTCCTAATGTATACCTCCGTTGTAAATTGTCCCTCCTATTAAAAAACATATACCCGATATTCACCCAATACATTATGTATAACTCCCCCTTACGAGTGTGATCCTCCAAATGTAAAGTGTGACCTCTCGTTATAGATTTTCACCTCCGGTTGTAAAGTGTCACCTCTCGTTTAGATTGTCACCTCCCGTTGTAGAGTATGATCTCTTGTCGTAGAGTGTGACATCTCGTTGTCAAGTGTGACCTGTCGTTGTAAAGTGTCACCTCTCGTTTAGATTGTCACCTATCGTTGTAGAGTGTGACCTCTCGTTGTAGAGTGTGACCTCCCATTGTAAAGTGTGACCTTCTGTTGTAGAGTGTGACCTTCCGTTATAAAGTGTGATTTCCGATTGCAGAGTGTGACATCCCGTTGTAAAGTGTGACCTCCCGTTGCAAAGTGTGACATCTCATTTCAGATTGTCACCTCTTATTGAAGATTGTGACCTCCGATTATAAAAAGTGACATTCCGTTGTAAAGTGTGACCTCCTGTTGCAATGTGTGACATCTCATTTTAAATTGGTACCTCTTGTGGTGAAATGTGACCAACGATTGAAAAGTGTGACCTCTCCTTGTAAAGTATGCCCTCTGGTTGTAAAGTGTGACCTCTCGCTTTAGATTGTCACCTCCCGTTGGAAAGTGTGACCTCCTGTTGAAGAGAGTGACCTCCCGTTATTTATTGTTACCTCTCGTTTTATAGTATCACCTCTTGTTGTTAATTGTGACCTCTTGCTTAAGATTGTTAACTTTCATTGAAAAATGTGATTTCTTTTGGTAAATTGTGACCTCTCATTGTAAAATGTTGCCTTTGTTTTTAGAATGTGACCTCTCATTGTAGAGTGTGACCTCCTGTTGTAAAGTGACCTCCATGTGTAAAGTAATCTCCCATTGTAAAGTGTGACCTACCGTTGTAAAGTGTGACATCCCATTGTAAAGTGTGACCACCTGTTGTAAAGTGTGACCTCCCATTGTAAAGTGTGACCTCCCATTGTAAAGTGTGACCTACTGTTGTAAAGTGTGACCTCCCATTGTAAAGTGTTACCCCCTTTGTAAAGTGTGACCTCCCGTTGTAAAGTGTGACCTCCCGTTTTAAAGTGTGACCTACCGTTGTAAAGTGTGATCTCCCATTGTAAAGTGTGACCTCCCGTTGTAAAGTGTGACCTCCCGTTTTAAAGTGTGACCTCCAATTATAAAGTGTGACCTCCCATTGTAAAGTGTGACCTCCCATTGTAAAGTGTGACCTACCGTTGTAAAGTGTGACCTCCCATTGTAAAGTGTGACATCCCGTTGTAAAGTGTGACCTCCTGTTGTAAAGTGTGACCTCCCATTGTAAAGTGTGACCTCCCATTGTAAAGTGTGACCTCTCATTATAAAGTGTGACCTCCCGTTGTAAAGTGTGACCTACCGTTGTAAAGTGTGACCTCCCATTGTAAAGTGTGACCTACCGTTGTAAAGTGTGACTTCCCATTGTAAAGTGTAACCCCCTTTGTAAAGTGTGACCTACCGTTGTGAAGTTATTGTTAAGTGTCAAAAATTATAAACTAAAAAAAACACGTTTTGGGCAGATGTTTTTAAAGTGTAGATCAAGCTAGAATTTTTTTTATAAAAACAAATAGAATTTGTGTTTAAAATGCTAATCTGACATAATTTATTATTCAAAATAGAAAGCAATTGCATCTTCTAGCAAACATGGAATAATAACTCTGTTAAACAATTTGTTCAAATCAACAAAAGATTTCAGGATTATTTGCCATTTAGTAGTTGTTGTATACAGTTGTCTTATCTATGTTAATGTTAGTGCTCCTATAAAAGATTCTAAATAAAACTTGTAACTACAATATCCCTTTATAATTTAATTTTGTCTACTTCACCATTCCATAGAAAGTTAAATAGTTCTGTTTTCAGATTTTGAAGACAAAATTCATCTGGATTTCGGAAAGCTTATATAAAGATAGTTCAAATGTAAAATCATAAGCGATATTATTAATATAAACTTTGTTTCATTAGATTTTTCAATTACAATAACATATAAAGCAAAGCACAATTGTTGAAATTAGATTTGGGAACAAGTTTTACAACTTATGTAGATCCATCTCCAGGATATGTATTGATATTATTAAATCTTCTCTTCCAATTGGGGCAATGGTAATTATTTTCCAAGAGTTTATAATTGATAGCTGTGTATTATTTATATGAGGAGGACTTCTTACAAAGGCTGTGACTGTTGCCCAATCTCTTTGACAATATAATGTCGCAATAAAACAAAAATGTTCCTGCACAAAGAACAAAAAAAAAGGTATGGTGCAATGGAGTCTCCTTATCTACACCCTCTTCCGATATTATAAAATGACGAAACATTACTCCTTTGATTGATGGCTGTATTAGCTCCCTTATGAATTGTGTTATTCATTTCTTTAGACCCTACCTGAGGTTAAAATATTTCATTACGTTATCAATAATGTCCAGGAGACCAAGCCAATTGCGTTTTCAAAATATATAATACATGTAGTAACATACCCGGAATCTCATTTTCTCCAGCAAAGTGAATGATATTGTAAACTAATCTAGTATTTCCCCTATGTACCTCCCTGAAATAAATGCCATATGTGATCTGTAGATCTTAAGTATTGTATTTGCCATAATTAACACTCGTCCCCCTCTCCCTTTTTCAGAGGGAATTAAATATATTCAGACCCAATCAATGAATAATGGTACTTGCACTTAAAGAGCATATTATCCTAATAAACGCATCCCTTTAAGCAATGTTTAAGTGCTATGGGCACGAATTATGGGGAATATGGTAGATTTCATTCTAAAAGTTATTGAACCTGAAGCAATGTTATATTCAATATTAAGTAGGAAAATAAATCACCTTTTGGTACAGCCAACTACCAGACTCCAGGCTTGAATGTTTCGACATATTTGACCCCTGTGACCTTACAAACTCCATAAAAGGAAACTTGCAGGAAAATGTCGGGGGAATTCTATGCCTTTTGGCTCTTCCGGAGAAATCATTTTGAATTTTTGATAATTTGACCTATGTAACAATGAAAGTAGGTCAAGGTCGTTTTGTTCAAAGAATTATATGGGCCCCAATGCAGGATTGCTACCAGCTATAATGGTTATAGGCCTTTCAGTTCTTCAAAAGAATTTGTTTCGAGTTTTTAAAAAGTATATTTGACCTCTGTGACCTTGAAAGCAGGTACAGGTAATATTTGTTTGAAAACATTGTTGGATTCCATCAAGGGAAGCTACGGGCATAATAGCATGACACCAGGGCCCAGTTTTTCAAAAGGTGATTAACTTAATCGGTGATTAGCACAAAAATGTTTTTGTGTCCCTCTAAAACACAACCATTAAATGAGTTAAAACTTTCCAGTTTTTACTTTTGTAATTTAGAATCTGGCAACTATACTAGTAAAATTATTCCAAATATAACCAAAGATGATGGGACAATAATATCTGACCAAACTGAAATTTTAAAAGCAAATGGAAATTACTACAAAACCTTATGCAAAGAACACAATTCACTTAAAAATGTTAGCTTAGATAACCACTGGCTCCAATCGCGGGCGCTCCTTGTCGCTATGGGGTTCTCCCTGGCTTGTAATTTGACAACGATCTGTGTCAGCCACGTGCTTTGACGGCGCAAGTAAGCCTAATGAAAACGGCACGGAACATAATATGAATTCGTCGATTTCATGGTAATTAATCGAAATAATTAATATAGTCGCATATTAACCAAAACTATTGAAAATGGAAATAATGTTGTATTGCACTCCACGAAGGACGATTTGAGGATATCGTCTTAAGTAATCGTCGACATCGTCGTAATCGAGTTTGCTAACTTCCAGTTTGTTTAGGACACAGGTGCTGTGATGTTAATTTATCTCTAAAACATCTTACAATACTGCTTAAACATCAGAACATATCTCAATACATATGATGTACTGACCATTTTCTGGAATACCAGTTAAGATACATATAACAGACAGAAATGTTTGCAGACACTGTGATTGAAACCGTGTTGTCATGTTTACTACGAGTTACTTCCCTTTAACAGTCCATACCGAAAATTTCGTCTCTAATTCGGCATAAATTTATGAGACAGATATAATACTTTGGTACTGAAAAAAATCCTTGGTACTGAACAACTGAAATCTTGGTACAGATAAACTTAATCTTGGTACAAGTTGACTGTTACAGATTGTAATAGGACGAGGAAAAGTGATAAAGATTGTGCCGTCGCTGGGGCTCGAACCCGCACCCCTTGTCTCTCCAGCCTGATGCTCCGCTAAAATTAAGCGAAATTCCCTACAGCTGACGCTAGTAAGGCAACCTAATCAATGCACATCTTTTATACTATTCCCCCCTTTTTCTTACACCAACCCAGGTTCTTTGACTCCCCACCAAGGGTTCTTCTACCTTGAACGGGGAGGGCCAACGGCACCAGTTTGTAATAGGACGAGGAAAAGTGATAAAGATAGTGCCGTCGCTGGGGCTCGAACCCGCACCCCTTGTCTCTCCAGCCTGATGCTCTACCGCTAAACTAAAGGGAAATTTCCTACAGCTGACGCTTGTAAGGCAACCTAATCAATGCACATCTTTTACCTGGATTGCCAGTGGCAGAGAACGACTTGATCCCATTTTCAATGCCCCTAATATAAGTTCAATAAGCACCATACATTTGTAATAGGAGAGGAAAAAAGCAGGTCCAGGGCTCAAACCCGCAACCCTCCAAACTCTAGACGGACGCTCTTACCATTTGAGCTATCTACTTGGTCGCCAGCAGTCAAACTAATAAGTTCAGTTCTGCTACACATTGTAAATAGGTTGTTTCTCGACAAACAACAGAAGTTCGTTACAAATGTCTAAAATACCCATAAATTGCTACACGTGCACTGACATGGGTCATACAGCACACCTGTAAGCAATAACACATTGGTTCGTTACAAATGTCAAAAATACACATAGGTCACAGAGGTCAGATATGTTAAAAACTTCAGAAGAATTCTTTTAAGAAACGAAAGGCACAGATTTAATTATGATATTTTGCTTCTAGCATCCTGGGATAGAACCAGACAAACTTTGCTAACAAAAATGACCTTGGCACACTTTCAATGTCACACTGGGTCAAATCTGTAACTTCTTATGAAGAACCAAAAGGCCTAGCTTGAATCATTACATTCAGCTGATAGCTTCCTGGGATGGAACCCAACAAACTTTGCCAACAAAAACTACCTTGACACACTTTCAAGGTCAATTACATATATGTAATAAACTACAGACGTCTTGATCTGAAGAACAGGGAGGCCTAGGGTGATGATATTTGACCAGTAGCATGCTTGGATGAATGGCTACCAGCTGGTTCGTTTAAAGGAATGACTTTGTCACATGCTTTCTAGCTTACAGGTTCAAATATGTCAATAGGGTTATGAAACTGATGTTATTTTGGATTAAGGGCTACCAGTATTGTTCAAACTGAATGACCTTGTTTGACTTTTTAGGTCACTGGGGTCAAATGTGTTAAAATCTTGTAACAGGTTGTTTGAATAACCAAGAATCAAAGGTAAGAATATTTATTATATAGTTTTATTTAGGCTATATAAGTAAATATGACCTATACCGGTAATTGGCACACTATTAAACTTGAAGTGTGAGATTAATAGGAGGTGAGAGATGCATGCCCATTGTGCCTCTTTTTCTCGGGGGGACTCAGGTTTTCCTCAAGCTCTTCCACCAAAACCTGGCTCATCCTTCAATGACCATAATTGTTAATAGGATGTAAAAACCACACAGACCAAACCAATACTATCCTGTATCTGTTTGTTTGTTTTTTTGTTTGGGTTTTACATCCTATTTACAGCTATGGTCATTTAAGGATGTGCCAGGTTTCGGTGGTGGAGGAAAGCCGGAGTTCAAGGAGGAAAAAACATGAACCTATGGTCAGTACCTGGCAGCTGCCCCACTTGGGTCTTGAACCCCCGACCCAGTGGTGAAGAGCTGGTGGTAGCAGAATGTCAGGTCTACGCCTTAACCACTTGGCCACCGTTTCAGCCCTAAATTGAAGAGTACATGTATATAGGTAAAATAGAAGCACATACAGCTTATTGAGTTTTACATAAAATGTAACAATTCATATTAAATGTAAAATATATAGAATTGTATATTACCTTTTTGTTTTCAGGTTCAGGGGCATTGAATGAAGAGCTTTGAATAGTCCATTCAGCAGCACATAAAAATGATGTCTGCTGACTGATGGCTGCGATGAAGCACAGACCAAACACATCCTTGACAACAACAGTTAACTTTTGATCACAGTCATCTGAGAGACAAACTGCTGGAAAAAAACCAACAAATCTTTGGTATATTCAGTAACACACAACCAACAAAATGAATTGTGTGCTACAAAATTTTGGAAGGAACCTTTTGCAATTGAAACAACTGAAATGTATACAGATTGTTGCATTATCTAAGGTTCCATACAATCAAAATGTAAGTTTATTTGCTATGGATCATTTTGTCTGTGAATATAGTATTTCTCAATTTGTTTACAATTGCTTACAGTCTCTGCACCCCAGGAATATGTCATAGCAAAATTGAAGGCACAGTGTGTGCCACCTTGTGAATGAGAAAAGAAGGCTAGTTTGATGCTTTGATGTACATCAAAAGAATTTCTCAGCAGGTTAACAGTAAAATTGGCTGACTTTGAAGTTGAGTGCCTTCCTCTGTGATCGATCTTCAAAGGACAGGTATCAAACCAATCGATTGGCCATGGTCAGGTTTGCCTTACCTGAGACCAATCAAATAGCTAGCCGTGTGCTTTCAATTTTGCTATGACATTTTACAGAGGTGCAGAGAGTGTAAGTAAGCCCATGCAACCCCTGGGGTATTGAGGATGCCATTCTTCTTACTTACAGTAATGTAATAATAATCCAAACAAACTACAGACCCTTCTATATGGGGCAGTTAAATAATAAGTTTAACGGATTGGTCTCTTCACAGAAAAACAAGAATACTGCCACCCTTTTACAGGGTAGTGGTTGATGTAGTGCTACCAATGTCAGTCTTTTCCTGTTTAGAGGGGGCCAGGGTGGCGGAGTGGTTAAGGTGTCTGAAGTTCTGCTACCACTAGCCTTCCACCACTGGATTGCGGGTTCGAGACCTACATGGGGCAGTCATCAGGTACTGCCCGCAGGTCTTTTTTTTTCCGCCGGGTTGCCAGGTTTCAGCCTTAAACAAAACCTGACTCGTCCTTAAATGACAATAGCTGGTAATAGGATATAAATCACCAAATGTTTTGTCGCTCCCCTCTCATCAGGTCGTTTCCCATCCTATCTTAATTCAGTGTCATTGCTCCTGCGACTTCATTTCGTTATTGACTTTGATAAAAATTCATACAAATTAAAGATCAAGCGAGACAATATCTGAGTATATGAGTCTATCTTTCTGGATTAAAATATCAAAGCCAAGGTCGTCGATACTAGCGGTACTATTTATAGAAATTTGTTGACCAATTCAGCTATGTTATATGTGTGTTCCTCTTGGTCACCTTCTTAAAACTGCCCCTGGTCCTAATGATAATTCATCTGTCATTGACAGCACTTATAAGTTAATGTAGAATATTCTCATTTAGGATTTTTAACATGGGACTGGGTAATAGTATCTGTAAGAAAAATGAAGAGCAAATAAGGTAAAAGATCATCTTTTGTAGATCTGACAAAGATCCTTTTAATGGTGGGTGCCAAGATCCGTCTAGGATATCTTGTTACAAGCCAAGAACACAAGGATATCCTGTTACAAGACATGAACACTAGGATATCCTGTTACAA